CTATATCATTACTTTATTTCCATTTTTGCAAGAAACTGGTAAAATAGGGCAGGAAGAAGAGCTAAGATGACAGATTTTTCCCTCCTAGTTTTGAAAAAAGGTGCATTTTCGATGTTGGATGATGATGTACTCATTTCTATACGAAAAAAATTCCATCTTCTAACCTCATGCTAATCAAAATCACTCGGAGCATCTTACTAAAATTTTGATTTTTTTTAAGTTTATTGCGTGCCTTCCTGAGGGGAAATTTTGTACATTGTATTACTCGGTAGGTAGACAAGAGTTTGATGCTTATATAGATCTAATAAAATCCTAGAGATCTAATACAATTCCAAGAGATCTTGTATTAGATCTCTAGGATTTTATTTGATGCTTATATAGTTTGATGCTGAGTTAATGCACGGTTCTAGCAAAGCTTCATGTGTTGGACCGAAGACTTTTTATTAAGTACTGTCATATTTGATGGATTCAAAGTAAACTATTCAGGTTCATGTTAACTATTTTAGGATGCTGGTTAACTATATTCAGGTTCATGTTAATTGTTTTAGGGTGCTGGTTAACTATATTCAGGTTCATGTTAACTATTTTAGGGTGCTGGTTAACTATATTCAGGTTCATGTTAACTATTTCAAGGTTCATGTTAACTATATTCAGGTTCATGTTAACTATTTTACGGTGCTGGTTAACCATATTCTGGTTCATGTTAACTATTTTAGGGTGCTGGTTAACTATATTCAGGTTCATGTTAACTATTTTAGGGTGCTTGACCAAGTGGTTCTTGATGACGGGGAGGAGGCCTTTGCCGACTGTGGCGACGGTGGTGGCGCTCACGACGGAGGTCAATGGAGTTGGCGTCGAGATCGAGGAGATTGCTAAGGAGATCTATGCGGTGACCAACACGTGCAGGATGTGGCATTGGGAGCTGAAGGAGACGCTGCTTAAGGCCGTTGTGGCTCTACTTCCGTTGGGTAAAGATGTTAAATTGAAGAACTTGGCGCACAATATGCCCGTTGTGTGTTTGTTCTGCAGTAATTTGATACAATTTTTGTGGGATATTTGAACTTCTTGCGGTCTGCTGTTGTTGTGGAGTCTTTCTTGTGTTATTTATTTCTGATAGAGATAAAGATCCAATCTTTGTTTCTGATGTTAGAGCTATTGATTCTATTTAGAGCTTTAGAACCTTGGATGTATATCAAAATCAAGAAAGAAGTAATAAACTCAGGGTGTGATATATAAATGTTGTACAAATTTGTTGTCACATTATATGTTAACTATTATTTGTAACATGTAAACTTTGGATGGTAAACTGATAACTCTTATTTGTAATTTGTTAACTTTAGTTGATTACATGTTAACTCTTATTTGTAATTTGTTAATTTTAGTTGATTACCTGTTAACTCTTATTTGTTATATGTTAACTTTATTTACGACCTGTTAACTCTTATTTGTAACATGTTAAGTCGTTACCTGTTAACTTATATTTGTAGGCTGTTATCTAAAGTACGATTATCCTGTCACTCTTAATCCATAAGCTAACATGTGAACCATAAGTTAATGTCAATCTACAAAGTAGTTCTGTAGTTGTATCACGTTACACCCCATAAATGTTAACTATAACGTATACAAAGTAGTTTCTTCCTCGGACTTTGTAATTGTGGTTGGTGCACTCTCCGTTAACTCTAGGTCATCCACGTCTAGTGTGCCCTTGAGCTTTTTTACTTCCCGACCTTCTTTTATCAGCTCCGCGGCAAGCCTTACACATACTACCTCCAACAAATCATCGACCAGCGTAACATGCAGACTTCTCACCAATCTATAGTTAACCAACACCCCCAAATAGTTAACATGAACCTGAATATAGTTAACATGAACCTTGAAATAGTTAACATGAACCTGAATATAGTTAACATGAACCTTGAAATAGTTAACATGAACCTGAATATAGTTAACCAGCACCCTAAAATAGTTAACATGAACTTGAATATAGTTAACTGGCACCCTAAAATAGTTAACATGAACCTGAATATAGTTAACATGAACCTTGAAATAGTTAACATGAACCTGAATATAGTTAACATGAACCTTGAAATAGTTAACATGAACCTGAATATAGTTAACCAACACCTTAAAATAATTAACATGAACCTGAAATATAGTTAACCAACACCCCCAAATAGTTAACATGAACCTGAATATAGTTAACATGAACCTTGAAATAGTTAACATGAACCTGAATATAGTTAACATGAACCTTAAAATAGTTAACATAAACCTGAATATAGTTAACCAGCACCCTAAAACAGTTAACATGAACCTGAATATAGTTAACCAGCACCCTAAAATAGTTAACATGAACATGAATAGTTTACTTTGAATCCATCAAATATGACAGTACTTAATAAAAAGTCTTCGGTCCAACACATGAAGCTTTGCTAGAACCGTGCATTATCTCAGCATCAAACTATATAAGCATCAAATAAAATCCTAGAGATCTAATACAAGATCTCTTGGAATTGTATTAGATCTCCAGGATTTTATTAGATCTATATAAGCATCAAACTCTTGTCTACCTACCGAGTAATACAATGTACAAAATTTCCCCTCAGGAAGGCACGCAATAAATATAAAAAAAATCAAAATTTTAGTAAGATGCTCCGAGTGATTTTGATTAGCATGAGGTTAGAAGATGGAATTTTTTTCGTAAATTTTTCGTATAGAAACGAGTACATCATCATCCAACATCAAAAATGCACCTTTTTTCAAAACTAGGAGGGAAAAATCTGGCATCTTACCTCTTCTTCCTGCCCTATTTTACCAGTTTCTTACAAAAATAGAAATAAAGTAATGATATAGAAATGTAACCATTTTCTCATTCAAATACAATTAAACTATCCCATCTCAGAACTAGGGAGGAAAAAAATCTGGCACCCCAAATTAAATATACCTAACCAACTTTAGCAAAGTTCATTGTTTTCTTCTTGATTCAATAATACCCAGTATTTTATTTCCAAATGGGATTAAACCAGGTAATCTAGGGAGAAAAGAAAGTGCTAAAAACCCAATACTTTTCAACAAGTAAAATACACACAACTGACTGAATAGTTCATGAATTAGACCAACAAAAAAAAAGGAAGATCTTATACACACAACTGACTGAATAGTTCATGAATTAGACCAACAAAAAAAAAGGAAGGTCTTTTGCACAATCATAGTTATCAGTTATCGGGACAAATCACAAATGGGTATTCATTTTGGGGCAAATCATAAATGGTTGTTCCTTTTTGGGGCAAATGAGCAGCCCCAAATGCGAAGGGAGAGGAGGAGAAAGGCAACAGAGAGACCCTTGATCTCAACCTCTACAGACATTATAAGACCGAGATCGAGTTTGTCCTTGTTGAGGTCGTGGAGGAACCTGCAGCTGCTGCCATTCTTGCAGAACCCCCTGATGAAGTAGAGGCAGGGCTTTCACCCGAAGCTGGAGGCGGCACGATGGTGGCATCGGGGGCTACGAATGAGGATGGAGTCGACGAGATCGAGGGGAGGCGGAGGTGGTGGCGGTGTTGGAGGTTCCCAGCGAGGTTGGAGAGAGGGTGGAAGAGGAGATGAGAGGAGAAGAAGAAGATCTGAGGAAGAAGAGGGTAGTTTGGGGTTTTTATGAGTTTTTTTTCTCTTGGGAACTGTAAATAGGGCTGAATCACATGAACTTTTTATTTTTGGGGCTAATGCATATTAGAAAAAGTTCAGGGGGCTAGGACACATCAATCTTGTTTTGATGATTACAAACAATTCCTAATGTTGTTTGTCTAGTGTTTATATTTCTTATTAGGTATTCTAGACAAACAACGATGTTGGAGGTTGGATGGATTACGCCACAACGATCATATCAAGTGGAGGTTGGCGGAATTGTGGAGTGGAGCATTGCATTCAAGTTAAAGATCCAAGATCCCGCTTCATCCGCACAGTTTACCAAGTCGAGCTCATTGAAGACCTTCAAGCTTGGGTATAATAGTTTATAGTGTTTGTAAATAGGTTTATACTTGTGTGTTAATACTTTAAGCTCATATTATTCACACACACGTATTTGATGATTTTATCAAAATATAGGTCTTTTTAATAAAATATTATTTTATTAGTTTATAGACTTCAACATCACTTTATACATAGTTTTTCAAAGTCTATAAAATCATTTTGTAAAGTTTCAAAACATGGTTTAGTCAAAATGACAAAATCAAGTGTTTCATGTTTTCATGTTTTGGACTAGTTTTATATATCCTTAGTTATTTTTAGTACTTATATACCCTAAAGTTATTAAAACTTGCACTTAAATACCCTAATTTTTTAAATTTAGCACTTAAATACCCTAAAACTTTTAAATGCACTTAAATATCCTCAAGTTTACATAACTAAGGGTAATTACGGGCAAGTTTTTAAAACTTTAGGATATTTAGGTGCCAGTTGTAAAAACTTTAGGGTATTTAAGTGCCACAAAAATGTAAAGATCTATAAGTTTAAAAAATTTTAGGGTATTTTTTGCTACGAGATACAAGTTAGGGTATATAAGTGAAAAGTATGTGAAACAATAGAGTATATAAGTGCTATTTAGCCTAACTGAGGGTATTTATTTGCAAGATTTAAATTTTTTTGGGCATTTAAGTGGTAAAACCTAATGGTCTTTAGGTGGCGCAAAAAAAGTTAAGGTGTATAAGTGCAAGTTAAAAAACTTTAGGATATATATATATATATATATATATATA